AGATGTGAATCCTTTACCTGAATTTCATTTTGCATAGTTTGAGATGTTTTTGTTTATTGAGCACATAATAATGGTTTAATTAATTTTAATATTTCTACTGACCGTTCAATATCATTCATTGCACGATGATTTAATGATACAGATGTTTTATTTAATGTGTTTTTCATTTGGAACCATTTAGTTGGTGACCACCTTTGCATTACACCAGAAATTGAACTAACATCAATAATACGATGATGTAAATAATCATAAACAGTTGGCATACGTAATTTAATGACTTCTCTATCAGTATGTATTGAACTACCTGCTAATGGACAACATTTTTTCGGACAATGATGCTCAATTATTTGTAACAATTCTGATTCCATTTGTTCTTTTGTTATTATTGATTTAACAACAGCATCAAATAAACCATTACCTCCATCTGTGACAGATTTAAATGTTTTCTTATGCCACTCATCAAGATCATTTAAATCTTTCTGTTCAAAATGAACAACCCATTGACCTCGTTCTAATTCATTTAAATCTTTATCAGTTATTATGACAGCACATTCCAATATCTGTGGATCATGTAATGATGTTAATTCTAAATCTAACCATATTATATTCAATATACTTTCACCTGGTAATTCACAATATTTATTTTTTATTGTTCGATCAGCACCTAGATTACGTAATAGTTCATACATCTCAACATTCTTATGCCAACTAGCCAAATGTATAGGTGTACATAAATCTTTCCTATGTTGCAAATTAATATTCAAATTATATCTTTCACTTAGATCTTTAACAAGATTTAGTTGCCATGTTAAAACTAATTCATGTATAAAATTTGATTTCTTATTTTCCCATTGTACAATACGATCAAGGCTATACTTTTGAACAAGTTCATCAAACTTTGTCTTAAATTCCTGTTCACTATCTTTGATTTTTAATAGTATCAATAATTCTTCATTTAATTCAGACATCTAGCTGAGAGTGATTTACTCTTCGATTTTTTCTATCAAAATCAATATGTACGAAAAAATGTATGTGAATTCACAATAATAATTAAATTTGTATTAATAATATACCTACAGATAAAACATCTGGTAGAATACCCAGCGACATTTTCTTGCCTTATCAAATATGTTTATGCTGTATTACTGAGGGGATACGTTTTCTTTCTTGTTTTCTTTCTATTTTTTTATAGACAGTAGAAAAAAAAGATATTATTCTCGTACTTTCAGCCTTCTTTTTCTGTTGAAATAATCGAAAACTATAAATTAGATACAGGGAAGTGTACACTAATCCCAATCGTGGGACTGAGGATTGCTATCAATCCTGATTGATATCAGTCGTGTTTGAGTCAAGTAGGATTGATATTAAACACGTTCGACTATAGATTGGGAAAGCTTTTTCTCGTGAACACTGAAATATGAAATGATAAAGACAATAAATTGCTCTTAAAAACAAAGTATGTATTAAAGCGACACCGATTTTGTAAACTTTTCAGAGCAATGCTGCTTGCGTCTACCTTTATTTCAAGGCCAAAGTTGCATGAAAACATCATCATATATCATTAGTCGCATATCGTTTTCTTAGGAAAGAAAAGATATGCATTATAACTTTACTCTTTTTTGTTGTGAAGAAAAAGAAAACTTTTCTTTTGTTAATAAAAAAAGGAGGTAAGAAAGAGAAAGTGCCACTCCTAAATCTGTATTCGGTTTTGCTTGTTTTGTCAAAACTCGCATGCAGCTTAAAAAAAGTGATTTAATGTTTTTCTTTCACAGGGGTTAGCTTACTCGTTTAATGATGGTTTAAAGAAACAAGAAAACTTAAAATTGAATGTAACAAAATAAATAGAACACAATGAATTTATCAACTTCATTTTCAATAGGAATACACATAGAACTTACAGTCATTTTCAATGACTCGTGTGGAACATATAATAACAGATTGTCAAACCAGATACATTACTAAACTTTATCTTGTCTTTTCAATCAGAAAGGTGGCGTCGAACGTAGCAAAATGTGCAGGATGTGGTACGACGGTTTATAGTGCCGATAAGTGCGACAAATATGAGGGCAAAATAAGCCTTTTAAAAAGAACTCTGACTGGAATAAACTTATGGTCTCTTGTCGCAGATTTATCACAGAAGTTGTTTTAAATGTTCACATGTCGATTGTGGAATAATATTAACATCGCGAAACGTAAGAGGATTAAACAAAATGCCATATTGTTATAGGTTTGTCATTTTCTCCCTTTTCCGCACATACAGCATTCTTCGGTAAATGCTCCGTTATACACGGAGAAAAAAAAACCGTGAAACTCATGACGGTTTTTATACGCGGTTTCTCGCAGTCAATTTGGCACGGTTTTTTTTTCGGTTTTAGTTGTTCATGCTTTGTTTCTTATGGTTCCAATATGACAGTTTTGCTTTGACGGTTTTAAAACTTTTAGAAAAACCGCCCAGGTAAAACTATGCAAGTAAAGCCGTCTACTTTGAAAGGGAGGAAAAAAAGAACAGCTCCTCCAAGAATCGAACCTGGGACGCTTGGTGAGTATGAATTATGAAACCAAGGCACAAACCACTGAACTGAGGAACTTACAGAAGTATGTCTTCGCATTACATACTCATCA